GCGACATCAAAACGGAATCCTTGGCCGACGACATGTCGCGAAACTGGTCTTCAGCTCCTACTCTCGGTTCGAATTCTAACACCATGATGACCAACATGGACCGGTCGGCCGGCTCTCAATTGGCCAACATTGAACCTCACCTCTTCTTCGCCGCCCCTTCTCCAGCATTTTCTCACAGGCCCAGGATCTCCATTTCCTCCGTCAGCTCCGGCTCCTCAGGACATGCATCCATTTGGTCAACAAACTCGGCTCACTCAGCATTGTCATGGCAATCCGGTGCATCTGCGCGATCTGGTTTTCCGCATGTCGGCGTGGGGATGATGCATGGCAGCTCTGTTTCGTCTCTCAACGGCGGAGGTGCAAGCAGCAGCAGCAGCAGCAACAATACCGCCAACAAGCAAAACATTTACTGGTGTACATCTTGTGAGACCAGTTTTAAGCGAAAGTATGACTGGAAGAGACACGAAGACGAATTCCACGAACGCTGGAGAAAATACCCCTGCCCGGAACCAGGCTGCAACAGAAGCTTCTGGGGATCCAACTCGTTCAACCAACATCATAAGCAGTGCCATGGATGCAAGACTTGCCCTCACGCTGAAAAAGTAGTCAAGTTTCTTCGCAAACGAAAGTACTGGGCATGTGGCTTTTGTTCTGCCTTGCATCCTGCACGGGAACGACACGTCGAACACGTTGCCCGCCACTTCGAATCCGGACTCTCCAAGGGTGACTGGATGCACTCACGGGTCATCTATGGTCTTATGCATCAGCCGCTAATCCGGGAAGCATGGGATACCATTGTTGAGGGGAAACGATCCGACTATGGTGGTAGGCGGGCACAATTCAGCTGGCATCCAAGCAAGACGGGCCGAGCCCAGGGCTTTTTGGAGAAGGAGAGTCCCGGACAGCTTCAGGATCTCCTAGAGTTCTTTTCCGGCGACGAAAGCGAGGCCAACTGGGTCGTTGGCATCGCCTATGAATTGGCGGATATTGTCATGGGCGCGCCTCCTACACCCACTCCTCCGCCACCGCAGTTTGCCAGCGGCGCTGCCTCAATGGGACCTCCTCAGCATCCTCCTCCCTTCGTTCCTCTTCCCTCACAGGCCCATCAACAGACAGCCTTGCTCACGCCGACGAGCCCCAATAACCAGAGTCCCTTTGCTGCACCATTCCAGCAAGGCCCTGTTTTCCTGCCCTCGCAGCCGTTTGGGGCGGCGGCCAGCCGACCTTCTCCCGACCCCTCCAACCAATCTTCGATGACTGCATCGCAGTCTCCTCTAGGGCCTGGCGGCTCACCAATGGAGGGACATGCTCGTGATATGCGGCAGTCGACTTCAAACTCGGGCCAATCTATTGGGGATTCCATGATGGATTACGAATACTCCACAGGGGGAAGTTCATATGATAGCTGGCCACCCAGTTTCGCGAGCCCCGTAGCGGGCAGCCCGGCATCGCAACAGCATGCCGGCCCTGCCCCCCATGATTGGAATGTAATGCAATACTTCAGTAATGACACGCAAACGGCGTCTGCGGGAAGCAACAGCAACTGCTGATGAGGCAAAAATAACGCGAGGCGGATCAACCTCAGCAATTGACGGTCTTGACGCCGCGCCGACTCTCCATGTCTTGACCACATGGTTCATAACAAGCATTCTTTTTGTTCATATTTTGATTTGACTGCTGCCTCAAATTACAGCTACGGCACGCCGATTACGGCTCTACCAGCAACGTCTCTGTTTTACGTATGTCGAGCCAACCAAGTGCCTATTTCATATACTACAGCTGCGCTTGCGTTCCATTCCGATTTGGGGGGGACTTAATGATAATACCCTTGCGATTTTGCAGTGTGGCGCGAAGTGGTGACCAGGCGCATTTCCGTCAAGCCAGCTGCCGCAACCAGGCTTCCTTTACTGTTTATATGTGGAAACCCGGTTGAACCCACAAGAGAAAGAGGGACTTTCTTTTCTTTTCTTTTCTTTTTGCTTTCTTTCTTCTTCTTCCTTTTTCATTTTTCATTTGGCAGAACAGTATGCAATAATTGCGTCCCTCGTTTCGCTCTTCTGCTCAACTTGTTATGGACGTTTGTTCTCGTCCGTCTTTTTCTTTGTTCTGATTGTTTTCGGATCCGTGGTCTACGGCGTTGGGGTATAACTTTGAGGGCCCCTAGGAAGCGTTGGGAAGGGCTGGAAGGGCTGGCTCGGATGAGATGAAAGTGTGATTTGGGATGGAGAGGTGTGTTTTGGCAGTTTGTTCACAAGTGAGCATGCAAGACACCTGACTGTACCAAAAACTTGTACATGGGCGGCAGTATGGGTGGTAATAAAAACTCCGTGTAGGATATGAGTAGGGAATATGAATGTTTCAGAAGACGTGCGCTGTTGTATGTATGATGGTGATTGCTTGGCACGAATGATGATGGATTGGAAGGGATTTCGTTGTTTGAAGTCAAAAAAGGCAACAAGCCAGGGCTGCAGGGCTCGATAGCGCGGCACGTGGGAGTTGACGTGCAGACTGCACCTTGTTGTTGAGAGTTGAGACACGGAACTGGAACCGGAACCCCACACACGGTTGAGTCGAGGTTTCGGATCGACTTGAGACAATGGCGAACTGATCCACAACCAACGCAACGAACACTTGGACCATGCTGGCGAGCGTGACTATTCCAGACTTGCACAGGGCTCACAGGCATAGTATGCTGTTGGTAACTTGTGTATATTGACACCATGTCTATCTGAAGACATGTGGTCTCACATACAAGTCCCGTCTGGGCCGAACCTACAAGGCAACTACTGACTTGTACAATACTACGTACGGGCCGTCAAGACGAGGAATAACTACGGGCTTAATTTGAGGAGCAGGGCGTGACGATGAGCTTTGCTTCTTATTATGAGAGCAGAGATCGGTCTAAGCTATCCATACAAATCTTTCCCCGAACACGACGGGTAGATGCTCTACACAGCATCCCATGACCCAAGACGAGAGTTAGCCTCGGCCGCTGTCCTTCTTCTTCTTCTTCTTCTTCTTTCCCCTCTTCTTCTTCTTGTCGGATTTGCCCGCCTGCTCCGGGTCCTGGCTCTCTTCTTCCAGCAAGCCCTGCGCCCACTCCGACCACTTGACGTCGGTCAACTGCTCACTCTCGGCGACCGCAGCCCACCGCGAGTGGTGAATGTACTCGTACACTTCGCCCGGCGCAAAGGGGCCCTGGGCCAACGCCTGCTCCTGCGCCAGCTCGCCCTGGCGCTGGCCATACTGGTGCGCGAGCTGATCCCCCCGTCTGCGCAGCTCGTTGCTGTACCGCTGCCGAAACCCCCGCGGCATCATCTGGAACACGACGCCGTGCCTAACACTGTCCATCCGCCTGAGACTCCGATGTTGGGCCGCCAGGCTGTCCAAAATAACATCATGGCCCGCGGGCCCTCCGCTCGCCCCCGCGTGCTGCGGCCGACCATGAGGCGAAGAGCCGTGCCGGGACGAGCTCGTCGCGTGTGTATGCGCATCCGGCATCGTCAAAGTATGGCCTGAAGCGTCGGGTGACTATATATCTCCCTCCGGTACCGGGTTCCTTGGGCCGTTTGAATCCGCCCAAGCTCGTGTGCTCAGAATATCTTTGACAAAAGAGCTTAAAAAAAAAAAAGAAGAGTCCACGCGGGACTCTTTATACCCCTTTTTTGTCGTACGGTGGTATTATTCGTGAAGAAGCGATTTACACGATCCTCGACATCTTTCCCAAAAGGAAAGAAACATCGTGACTAACATGCATGTAGCCGGCGAGCGTGAACAGCGACTAACACGGACCATCGTGGCCAAGGTGATACAACGAAGCGGTGACACTGCCTTGGCACAATGACGTTCTTGAGAGTCAAGCGCCGCTTCTGCAGCAGACTGTGCGGCGTGAAGACACACACGCACGCGCGCACAAATTTTAAATAAAAAGGGCCCAAATTCCCGGCTGGGCATTCGCGCAGTGAACCTGAAGAGCTGTTGACTTGGCGTGACGACCGGCGACGATTCACCACCCCGTGCGTGCGAAAAAGGGGGGACGAGCTGGATATTCCCCCCTATTCACGTACCCCATGTCTTACTCATCTGGGCTTTATGTGTTCCCCCGCGTGCGAATTGCACCCGTTGCTGTGCAGCTGCGTTGCATGCCGGCACTGGTGCTGTCTGGTCGTTTCCTCCCCCTCTTTCTGCTGGTGGTGTGCTTGTCTCTGCTGCCTGTAGGCAGGAGCGTGCCCGTGTCTGCGTCCTGCTTTCCGCCGGTGCGCTTTTCTGATTGCTCTTTACGGGGAGGGACTGCCGCTCCGGTTGTTCAGATGGTGTGGCAGGCGGGCTTTGCGGGATTGGAGACGCTCGTGGTTGGTGGTTGGGAGTTGGTGGTTGGGAGTTGGGCCGTCACGTCGATTTGCTACTTGCCCTTTTGGGGATTTTGCATACCGTTCCTTTTTTTTTTGCTGTTGGTGGTGTGGGAGTCGGGGCGTCGAGGGTGCCGTTTTTATTTACACTTGGTTCTTTTGCATGTGGGAGAGGATGTGTGGCGGGTTTGAAGTGTATTGGTTTCTGGATAAATGACACATACATCCCCCGTTATCAACGGCGTCTCTTTGAGGTGTATTCTAAATTGAAGATGTGCATATCCTCCTTTCAACCAAAATTTTTGCCGTGGATTCCACATGAAACGCATGTGTATCTTCTTATGCACTGCTACGTAGCCCGAATAAAGGGCACACATGTCCTCTTGTAGATTGCGTCTCTTTGCCGTAGATTCCGAATCAAACACACAAATAGCCCTCCTGTAAACGGCAAGTCTCTGCCCAGACCACAAATCGCGAGGGAGCATATTGAGAAAAGGTCGCACAATGCCCTGGCATGCCCATCTCCATTGCCCGTATCGGCTCCTCCCCTATCGCTGTCCTTCTCGCGCCATGCTCCTCGCTATACGAGTCCTCGTCATCGGGTTCCCCGTCATGCTCACATTTGGGCCGCTCATTGTGTGGCTCTAGTTCTCAAGTACCCCCTGCTTCTTCAGCGGCTTGCTCAGGGCCTTGCTCAGGGGCTTGTTCAGCGGCTTGTCCAGCGGCTTGTCCAGCGGCTTGCTCAGGGGCCCGTTGAGCGGCTTGTTGAGCGGTGCGTGCTTGCCGGAAAGCTTCGAGTTCGGCCCGGTCCCGTGATTCCTGCTCGTTTTGTTCCTCGAAGCAGCGGTACAGGTTGTTGTACGTTCTGGCGCGTTTGTTGCAGGTGTCCACAACTCTCTTTTGCAATGCTTGAGGATATAGAAAGAAACTCGGCTTTAACCTTTGTTTATTCAGCTTTTCATACTTTTCCCACATGTCGTTCAAGACATATTTTTGCTCGGCATTAAACTTCTTACGAGGCCCCCTCCCGGAGGAATTTGACCTCCCAGCACTACTTGCGTATTCGGACGCGGGGGGTCTGTTGACAGTTTCAGGCATTTTTGGCGTATTGAAGGTTCGATACGTCGATATTGGGGGGTTTGCTGTGCTTGGCAATGGGTCATGATATGCGCTATCAGGGGCGGCGTGACCGTCTTCATATATACTGAAATTGACATCGTGTTAACAGCAATATCTGTGACGTCTTTCCAGTTGACTCTTGAGTTTTGAGCCCGGGGTAGCTGTGTCGTCTTTGTGAAAAAAGGGCGAGACTGCGTCTTCTTTGTATCTGGTAGTTGTGCACTCGGCTGAAGTAGACGAACTGGCGCCCATGTTGACCAAATGCGTCCTTTATTCATGAAGACTGCGGTGCAGCACATTGTGCTTTGATACTGTGAGCAGTTGGACAGCATATAAAGGCAGCCATGAAGCTGCCAGCGACGGCAGGCTTCGCTTTTCTCTCATCCAAGAACTCTCCATGGTCATGAATCTGACCCCAAACATACGCTTGATTGTTCGAGCTGAAAGACGGTGGTAGGCCGAGTGCTTTCCGGAAGAACGTCCACAGACGCAAACGAATGTTATGAAGTCAATTAATCGCTGCCCACCTCTCTGCTGCCATGCACGCGGTGAGGGATTCCATTGTCCAACACGTCAACAGTTTCGATGGAAGAATAGAGCTTCAACACATGCTCCGTCGGATGTAGCCATGTTGATTTAATTAGCCGTCGATCCTGGATTCATCCAAGCAACCACAGCTCTGAATAGGCGTCACAAGCAATGTAAATGACGGTAAAGAAAGGCCTTGTGAACCCGAAGCAAGCATTGATTGTTCTGATGATTCAATGTTGAGCAATGAAGCATCCCAGGTTCCGAACAGTGAATAGTGGGGTATTTTCACCAGTTCTCTGCCCATTGATTGGCTCCTGCTTCGCTGGCCACGAGCCTTTGGCCCGATGGTACCTCACTATCATGCATCATGCTATAATAGATGATGGCGTATTAAGCGTATACTTGACTACTTTGTTGGCTCAATGTACCTTCCTTACACTGGTTGCCATGCATTGGAAAGGAAATTGACAGAATAATCACTACAGGCTGCCATTCATTTCCAAGTTCAACTCAGCCCAATTGAGGAGAGCTTCAACGAGTAGAGTATAACTTCATGGTTTAGATATGCGATGCAAGCAAGTATTCAGAGAGAGCTTGGGTGAATTTGCGCGGATGCTGGATGAAAGGCGGCAATAGCCAGTGAGCTCTTTCCGTGTTTCGATTGACTCTACGAACCTAGAACAAGACAACAAGACTCTCCGCTTCAAAGGCTTCCCAAGCCACCGACGCTGCATAGCAGCACCCCCAGCAGCATCCCGGAAGCATCCACGCAGCAGCCATGGATGAGGAGGACAGGTTCTCGGCCAGCTCTCCCGAGTCGGAGCGTCCCAACGAGCCGGACGAAGTCATGGAGGATGCCGAGGACGGGGACGACGCCGCAGAACAGGACGACGACAATAATGATGACGACGATGAGAATAACGACGACGAAAACGAGAACCACGATGGCGGCGACGACGAAGGGGACGACGCCGCCGCTACCCAAAACGCGACTGCGACTACGAATGCGACTGCTGATGGCGGCGCCAATGCCAACAGCAATGCCAATGCCAACGCCCATGGCGATCCCGATGGCCACGGAGATGGGCAATCGGCTGTCAAATCCAGCAAATCTGCTACGCCGACGCCTTCCGCCGCCCGCTTACGCCTTCGTCCATCTCTGCGACCTGAAGCAATCACGGCGCGACTCTACGACATCGTCCCGACAATGGCCGCGCCCCAGTCGACGAGCATCAATGCCATGGCCATCACCCCGGACCTGCGCTACTGGATAACAGGAGGCTCGGACGGCTACATTCGAAAATATGACGGGCCCGGCACCATCAACGGCAAGCTGGCCTTGACCGTCGCCCAGAAGCACCCCTTCGTAGACAGCGTCACCAAGGCCGGCATCCTAATGTCGTACTGGGAAAACGAGGAGCCAGCTGCCCCAGGACGAGGAGATCAAGACCACAATCTGTCGCCCGTCTACTCATTGGCCGTTCATTCGCGAGCTCTCTGGCTCCTCTCCGGCCTCGAATCGGGCGGCATCAACCTACAGAGTGTCCGTCACGACGAGGGCAAAAAGATTGCGTGCTTGCAAAAGCACACCAACGCTGTCAGCTCGCTGATGCTGGCGCCCGACGAAAAGAGCGTGCTGAGCGGCGGTTGGGACAAGAACATCTTTGACTGGGACTTGAACACTGGCCAGACCATCCGCAGCTTCGACGGATCAGGCGGCCAGATCTCCTCCATCGAGCTGCGCCCTGCGAGCGGTGACCCCGTCCCCGTGGAAGCAGACGAGCCCATTCCATCAACTACCATATCGACGAATAATGGCGCTCCGCTTGTCAACGGTATCCTCAAGGACGAATCTGGTGCGCGTGATGCCGGAGCCGCCGACAAATTTGGCGCCGCCGGTCGAGACGCCGCCGTCTCGCCTGGTAACGAGAGTCTATTTGGCGGAAGTGACGCGGGGAGTTTATTCGGAGAGACGGCGGGCGAGCAGCCCTTCGGCAACGACGATGATACCTTTGGTGCCAGCATGGACATGATGCCCGGCCACGAGGGGGGTATGGACCACTCTGCCGACTTTGCCATGACTGACTTGAGCACCACCACCAAGGAACCAGAAACTAAGACGGAGGAGAGCGCGCCGACTACACAATCACAGACACAGACGCAGAATCAACAACCTCTGTCACAAGACGCCATGATGCAGGTAGATGGTGACAAGCCGTCGGCCGTGGCCCCTGTCGAAGCGGCGGCCGCCCAACAACCCAGTGAATCACAGCCTCCCAAAACGGAAGACGAGTCAAGAGAAATGGCGCAACTAGCCCATGATAAAGAGTTTCTGAAAAGGTCACCATCACCCGTCCCATCAGCTGCCCAGCCAGTCTCCCAGCAGCAGCAGCAGCAGCAGCAGTTTGACCAGTCACAAGTATCGCCAACAACCTTTCTCTCGTCCACGATTGACGGCACAATTCGCATTTGGGACCGCCGAGCGCCCAACGCTGTGGCCAGAATCGGTATGAGGCAGGGTGTTCCGCCTTGGTGCATGAGCGCGTGCTGGAGCCCCGACGGCAACATGATTTACGCAGGGAGGAGAAACGGCACAGTAGAAGAGTTTGACGTGAGAAAGGCAAAGAGAGGCTGGGAGCCTGAGAGGGCACTCAAGTTTCCGACTGGAAGCGGTGCAGTCAGCGCTGTGCGATCCATGCCTAACGGGCGCCATCTTGTTTGGTAAGTGTGTTTTCCGGAGCTATCATTGTCCCGCTCGTTTTTTTTTCCCAATGGACACTCCAGAGTCACTAGCTAAACCCCCCGGGTCTCGCCAGCGCATCGCATGACATCCTCCGGCTGTACGACCTCCAGGACACCCGGGCCTTTAAACACTCGACTGTCCCGTTCCTCATCATCCCCGGGCCCCCGCGTGCCGGCGTCATTTCCAGCTTATACATTGACCCGACAAGCAGGTTTATGCTGAGTGCGGCAGGGACACGAGGCTGGGACGGCACAAGCACAGAAGTTCTAATCGGGTATGAGATTAATGTGGTTAATGATTAGTCTTGGTACAGTGCCGCGTTTGGCAGCACCTGCCGCGCCACCCCACCCCAAGATGCCTATAGTAATGTTAAAAATCGAACACTAGTCTCCTTGTAATTAGAGAGACGGCTAATTCAATTTTATTTTTACATTCCTTTGGCTGGATCCGTGCTCGGCATCCATCCGTAACTCATGATCCAACTGTCTGCGACCCCGTAGCGAGGCCAGCCAATGCAACCATTCATCTCAGCCAGTAGCCTAGAGTTCGCTCGTCAGCTATCATTTGTACAGGTGCTTTTGTGTAGACTCAAAAAAAAGGGAAAGTGTAGCGCGCTCAAGTTTTCAGGCGGCACAACCGAGGAAATTCTCCTCCCTCCTGCAGTCTAATGAATTAAAAATAGCTACATAAACGCATTCACGCCGCTAATCTGACGGCTTTTTCTCGTTTTCATTAGCAGCGGTACACGTGGGCAGATCAAGGCCGATATTACCTAAAACGGTAATTTTTTCGGCCGAGTCACCGCCGGACCGAATGACCGAACGGCCGGGACTAGCGGTTCTTCCGCCCTATAGAGTACTCCGCATACACGATTGTTAAAAGAAAATGGAACAATATACCATTCATCATGGCTTTTTTTTTCGTCATATGCTGTAATTTTTACTATGATGCTGGTGCGATTACGATTTACGTTCCGGCCTACGACTGGATTTACGAAAACACTGTGGACTTTAAATGCTAGGAAAGGTGACCACTTGAAGCGTACTTGAATCAATTTTTTCAAAACATCAAAACATTCCAGTTTAAGCAGCCCAGTGCAGTTGTTCTGCATCATTTGTCCTCTATCTCTTCGCCATCTGAAAACTCTATGAGCCATTCCTCCCCCTCTTCTTCTGTAGCTGGTTTCAGCGGCGTGACATCCCACGCCAGCTGCTGCGAGATGGGGACTGTTTCCGAATCTTCGAATGACAGCAGCTCAATATCGGAAGCCAAGGACTCTGTTGTGTCTACTGGCCTTTCTGGCGGCAGGCTTGGAAGATTGGGGGTCCAAAATCTTAGTCTTACTTGGGGGCTTGGTGCGTCTTGGCTCAGGCTGCTTTCGGGAGCTTTGCTCTCTGGGGCCTGGCTCTCTGGGGCCTGGATCTTTGGAGGGCTTTTGACATTGCGAGCCCCAGAGCTTTCAGGTTGGGCCCCCTTCTCCGAGCCACTGGAATAACTTCCTTTTTGGCGCTCCTTTCTTGGCATTTTATGCCGTGCATTTCGTAGTATTGGTTTAAATTGATCTGGATGGTCAACTTGAACCACGTTGTCTGTGTCTGGGTCGGGACATAGGGGCAATGACCGCCCTTGGTTCTCCCCAATCTGTCGTATAACCTTGGACCAAGTCCGACGAGGATGCTTCAGAAGAACTTGTTGATGGCCAAAG